AAAAAAAAACCTCACTGCCATCAAGTCACATCTGACTCATAGCGACCCTTCCTTGGGTTTCCAAGGTGGTATCACTATGGAAATACATTGCCCAGTCTTCCTTTTAAGGAGTGGCTGGTGGGTTTGAACCACCAGCCTTCTGGTTAGCAGTTAAAGGCCTTAGGTACTGCACCACCAAGTGCTTCATATATTCTAGATAAAAGTTCTTTATTGGATGTGTAATTTTAAAATATTTCTCCCTGTCTCTGACCTCTTAATTCTGTTAACGGTGTCTTGCAGAGCAGAAGTTTTACTTTTTTATTAGGTTAAATTTATCAATTTTTTTGTTACATTGGTCACATTTTTCATGTCGTATCTAAAAAGTCATCACCAAGCCTGAGGTTTCATGGATTTTCTGTTATGTTTGCTTCTAGAAGTTTTATTTTTTAATTTATATTTTTTATCAATTTTAAGTTAATTTGTAAATAAAGCAGGAGGTGTTTGTTCTTTAATATAGTTTGCTGTTTGCTTGTTTGTTTTGGTATTTTGCTTTGTTTTGTTTTGCACAAAGACTACCAATTGTTTCAGTATCATTTGTTGAAGATGGTAGCATTCATTTTCTTACTGAATTACATTTGTATTCTTGTAAAAGTTTAGTTGACTAAATTTTGTGGCTATAATTTCTGGACTCTATTCTGTTCCATTGATCTATATTTCTGTTTATTCACCAATACCACACTGTCTTGATGACTGTAACTTTAGAGTTAAGTCCAAAAATCAGGTAGCTTAAGTCCATCAGTTTTGCTCTGCTTTTTCAGAATTGTTTTGGCTATTCTTATTCCTTTGCCTTATCATGTAAATTTTAAAATAAGCTCATGATATTTTCAAACAACTTTCTGGGATTTTTATCAGGATTATATTGAATCTATACATCAAATTGGGGAGAACTGACATCTTAATACTATTGAATCTTCAAATCCATGAATATGGTACATGTCCCCATTTATTTGCATACATTTTGTTTTTTAGTGTGTTTTGGTTGTCAGAATATAGATCCTGCACAAATTTTGTTAAATTTAAACATAAGTACTTTTTTTTTCTTTTATTATTGTAAATGGAATTGTTCTGGTTACCTAGTACTGCTCTGACAAGAATGTACCACAAATGGGAAGGCTTGAACAAACAAGAGTTTATTCTCTTACAGTGTGGGAAGCTAGAAGTCCCAAGTTCAAAGTGCAGGCTCTAGGGGCTGTGTAAAAGCCCCTCGACTTGGGCTGCAGCTCTGCCTCTTGCTCCCGGCCCACTGAAGCTAGAGGCATCACTTCACTCAGGCAGCTACTAGCTGCTAAGGCTAACAAGCCCAAGGTTGACAAATAAAGTGGTACAGTCCTGATGTTACCAAACAACATGGCAGGTCATTGACTCAAGCCATTGAAAGTCCCAGGATCGGCAGAACATGGCAGGCTGCTGAACAATGGCACAGCTATATCCAGGGTTCAAGTGTGCCATAAGTAGAGACCCTTCCCAAAGCTGTTTCTTATATATGGGAAGCAGACCATATCCCTAAAGCAGCTACGGAGCTGCCAGTGGTAGGTCCCACTATGGAGTTGATTGCCAGTCTCATCATGGGGAATAACTACCACCAGCTGCCCAGCCAGTCAACCAGGCCCGATCAAGTTGACACACAAACATAACCACCCCAGGAATTTTTAAAATTTAAACTCTGTTTGGCATTGCTGGTATATGGCATATAAGGCAACTCAATTGACTTTTCCATGCTTATTTTATATCCTTCAAACTTGGAAAACAGACAATTTTTGGTACAAAAAAAACCAGACACTTAATCTGTTTCTATTTTCTCACTGATTAGTAAGATCCCTAATTCAAAGAATTTTGAAAAAGATATTTGAAGAAAATCAATAATTTATGTTATAAACAGTTCACAGAAAAACAAAAGATCTGCAAGTGGTTCATAAACATTAATTTTTTTTTTAAAAAAAGATATTCAACCAGCTGGAAATAAGAAAAGTAGACTTTGAAGCTATGAGAGATCATCTTTTATCTATCATATTGGCAAAGATTAAAAAGTTTGATAACATGGGGTGCTGGCCAGGGAGTGGGGAAAAGAGCTTCATCTTCCTGATACAAGCCCATGTGGAAGACAATTTGACAATACCTAGCAAAATGGCAAAAACGCCTATTCTTTGACCCAGCAATTCCACTTCTGGGAAATTATCTTACAGATATTCTTGCAAGGGTGCAAAATGGCAAATATACAAGGGTGTTAGTTGTAACACGTTTCAAATATAAGAATGAGATAAATGTTTGTCGATACAAAATGGATTATACATGTTAAGTTAGATCCATACAATTTAATCTTATGTAGACATAAGAGTATGAGCTCTGGAAGCTCAGTGCCTAAGGTATTTGGCTGCTGACCAGAAAAGTGGAGGTTCAAACCCAACAGCTGCTCCACAGAAGGAAGATGGGACAATCTACTTCTGTAAAATTTACTGCCTTGGAAGCCAATTGGTGTCGCTATGAGTAGGAATCCACTTGAGGACAGTGGATTTGTTTTTGTTGTTGTTGTTAGTTATAAACATAGATTTTTTTAATATCTCATCAAATTTTAAAAGTTAGATACAGAAATAGGATAAGAATGAAAATAAAAGGATGTATTGAGTTATTTGTGTATGTGTAATATAGCTCTGAAATGATATAGTCTGATACAGTTGTCTGATATATCATATGGTTGACATTGGAGAGGCAATTGGGGGCTTGATTGATAGGGATAGGAGCAGAAATTTTTACTTTTTATGTTTTCGGAGTTTTGAAAGTTGCCATTAAAAATCAAATCTTACATCTTCATAGTTTTAAAATCTTTCAAATACATTTCAAAGTCTTCAAAAAGAGGATGTGGGTAAGTTTTAAAGTCATTTATTAAAAATATAAAACTAAAATAATTTCTACTTAGATTGCAAGAGCAAAGATTGATTTCAGGGAAAATAAAAAGTTTATTAGCTAAATTTCAACAAAACCTTTGCATAACTGACAGATGGAATTTAAGAAAGAATATAATGATGATTTATGGATAGGCAATAATGAACTTCTTCTACCTAGATCTTCATATCTATCTCAATAAGAAATAATTTTAATATGTGCCATTAAATCCCAAGACAGAAATAAATGAAGTTTGGAACCAGCCCTTTGATTAGTGATTTACAAAGTGCTAAACCAAAGTTTTCAAAAATAATAAATCCCACTTAATCATGTTGGTCTCACTAACAATACTTTATTAATAATAACAGATATTTTATACTATTAATTTATACTATTAATAGTATACTATTTTATACTATTAATATTTATGTTGTTGTTGTTGTTATTATTTGCCGTCGAGTCAGACCCGACTTACAGCGACCCCTCCTTGGGTTTCCGAGGTGGTATCACTAAAGAAGCAGATTGCCCCATCTTCCTTTCGAGGAGTGGCTGGTGGGTTTGAACCACCAGCCTTCTGGTTAGTAGTCCAGTGCCTTAGGCACTATGCTACGAGAGCTCCACATTAATATTTATACTATTAATAAAATCTTTAAATGTTAATTTTACTTCTATTTCATCCTTTTCAAATTTTAATTCTGAGTTTGTTTATAATTTATGTTACATATTTTTACAAAAGTACATGAATATGATTTATAATTTAAAATACACCTACTGGGAGTACCCTGAATGCACATATGGGTAAGTGTTTGACTGTTACTGAAAGTTAATGGTTCAAGGCCACCCAGAGACACCTCAGAAGAAAGACCTGGCAATCTACTTCTGAAAAATCAGCTATTGAAAACCTTTTGAGCTCAGTTCTACCCTGACACATGCAGGGTCGCTCCGAGTCAGAACTGACTGGATGGTAACTGACTTTGGTTTGGATTGGAGATACATGCTTAACTTCTTTTATTGACAGAGATTGTGATAAAGTTTGGACACCCTTGTTTTAGGGAAGGGTTCTTACTTGGATGAGCCCTGGCTGAGTTGAGTAGCAAGGAGGACTGTTGAGGGAGAGGGGGAAAAAATACATAGAAAGGTCCAGAAGATAGTCATCCCCTGCCACAAAACTCAAGAGTGCAGGACTTCATGGCCTTAAGTCCAAGGAAGTAGCATTCTAGAATCTTTAGGGCAGTTGGAAACAAAGAGGTTAAGAATTCTCTTTCTCTGAGGTCCTAAAGAAATATTCTTGGGTGAGGAACGATCAGTTGTGCCTGGAAAGAATCTGAATGGCTTCATGGAAGGGATGAAGAAGCTCAGCTGAGCTACTAATCACTTCCTGAGTAAGTGGAGCAGTGTCTCCTCCTCCGAATCACCTGAGAAATCCATCTCCAGGGAGCAGGCACCAGGTAGGACCTTCTACAACCAAGGCTGCCAGATTTTGAACTTCTTATTGGTGATGGATTTAACCTTATGACAAAATGAGTTTGGCTGACCTGTCTCCTCCCAATCTTTGACAGATTCTGCCTGCAGCAGACCTTGAAGATGAAGGCTATTGGTGTCCTGGCCCTGATAGGCTGTGTGGTCACAGTCATCGAATCCAAAATCTACTCTCGCTGTAAACTAGCAAAAATATTTTCAAGGGCTGGCCTGGACAATTACCGGGGTTTTAGCCTTGGAAATTGTGAGACTTCTTCCTTCTCATTTTCTTTCTGCCTTTAATCTTTCCTCCTAGACAGTGAATGCCCTATCCACACTCCCTTCTACTTGTTCCCAGATTTTTCATTCTTTGCTGGACCAGGTGTGGCTGCTAAGTATTCATCCCTTCTCTTCAACAGCTGTTCTCTGGGCCTCCTCTCCTTCCGCCCTCACACCCATGTCCTTACTCCAGGCTTCCTGCACTAATGACACCAGCAAGGGAAGGTGAAAACAATGTCACTCTTGTCATTGTCAGGGGACCAAAGGGAGGGACCTGTCTGTTAGTCTGGTTTAGACTAACCATGTAATCCCTGCATGATATAAATAATTAACGTGCTCACTGCTGACTGGAAGGTTGCAGGTTCAAGTCCACCCAGAGTGGCCTCAGATGGAAAGAGCTGACAATCTGCTTCTGAAAAATCAGCCATGAAACCCTATGGAGTGCAGTTCTACTCTGACATACATGGGGTCAGCATGAGTCAGAATCAATTCAATGACAACTGGTATTGAAATAACCACTAACTAACTAGTTGTGCAGCTTCAGGTATGCCTCCACACACTTCAGTACCCCAGTCTCCCCCTGCAGCCCCCAGGTACACTATCTTCCCTGACCCATCCTAAGATTTGTTGGGAGGAGACAATTAGATACCATGTAAGAGAGAACTCTTCCTTAAGAGTAGGGTTAAAGAAAACAATGCATTTCTTTTGCAGCCATTTCTGGCATTTCACCTCTTTCAGGGATCTGCATGGCATACTATGAGAGTCACTACAACACCACGGCTCAGACGGTACTGGAAGATGGAAGTATTGACTATGGCATTTTTCAGATAAACAGTTATACATGGTGCAGGACTGAAAAACAACAGCAGAAGAACCACTGTCATGTTGCCTGCTCAGGTACAGGTTTGATCTTCCACAAATAAGGTTCTGAGGAATAAAGGCAGGGAAGCTGAAAATGGAATATCCATCCATTTTCTGCTTTCACTAAAATTAGGAGTTCAGATTTGCACATAGGTCTGTACCAAACCAGTAAGTTATTCAACCATTTCCCAAGGTGACATATGTATGTTGCTTACTTGTCCAAAAATGACTTCTTTCTGGATGGTTTTTATTAAGCCCTCCGTGTCAGCCCGGGCATGTTCAGATGACCTTACTAGCCTTTCATGTAAAGTGACATTTGATACCTTCAGTAAGGATAAAGCTGTTTGCCAACTGTTTTCCATAAGAAAGTCATTCAAAGGATGGAGCTTATTCTTCTTTGTGCAGAAGGAGGCAAACCAGTGTGAAATAGCATAGCATTTCTTGAACAGTAAATATGAATTTAGAATTCACTTCCAAGTCTTCTACTTCAACCATTCAAGAAATATCTGTGTGCACAACACTGAGAATAACAAAATACATCAGACATGAATTCTGCATTACATTGTCTATACTCTATCAGGTAAGATTCCAGACCAAAACAGAGCAGGAAGAAAGGCCTGGTGAACTACTTCAAAAACTCAGTCAACGAAAGCCCTATAGAGCACAATGGTTAGATCCCATAATGCATGGGGTCACCATGAGTCAGGGGCCAACTGGACCACAGTTAACAAAAACAACAATTAAGGAAGATAATATCTTTATAACGAGGCTACAAGTCCATGCATGTGAAGTGTTGAATAAATGACTATAAACAGATGTGAGCTAAGTGCTATGGCTTCAGAAGAAAGACATATTAAGAGAAACAGGGAAAATTTTGTAGACACAAAGGTGTTTGACCTGGGCTTTGGAAAATACACAAGATTTGGATATTCAGAGACAGAGAAGAGTCATTCAAAGTAAAAGGAACAGCAAAAGCAAAGAGATGGACGTGAAAGTTGTGAGCATGTCCAGGGAGTAGCACCAAGTTTTATCTGCCACTAAGGGAATATGAAGAAGAATAGAAAATGTGGCTGGAAAGGTTGATTACTACCTGATTTCAAAGGGCCTTGAAAGCCAGGCTAAGCTTGTCCCTATCTCTGCCTGCAGTAGGATCAGTAAGAGTCAGTTGATTCAGCATGGCTTCAGAAAGATTAATCTGCAAGCAGGGTGTGAGGCAGATTAAACAGGAGATTATTTAAGTACCACTCCTCGGAAGGAACATTGGGCAATCTACTTCCATAGTGATACTGCCTCGGAAACCCAAGGAGAAGTCGCTGTGAGTTGGATCTGACTCAACGGGCAGGAGTGAGTTTGTCTTGGTTTTATTTAACCACCACACCAATTGTTGAGGTAAGAATGTGGTCATGGGTGTGAGGATGGAGAAGAAAGGACTAACGCCAGAGATACTGAAAAGGCAGAGAAGAACATAATTCAGGAAATGATTGTCTTCTTTGCTCTCCCTCTAGAATGTAAGCTCCATGAGGACAGGGAGTTCTGTTCACTGATATATCCTCAATGCCAAGAAGGGTGGCTGGCACATTGTATGTGTTCAATAAGTATTAGTTGAATAAATGAATGACAGGAATGAGCAAACAGGGTGAGGTCAAAGAGTCATAAAATATTTTATCACAAATTCTTTGGCTGAAGGAAATAAATTGTGTTTTCATTTCCCTTTGACACATAATCAGTAGATGAAGACAAGTTCAGCAAATGAATTCTACACTTTTTTAAAAATGCTTAAAATCAAGCACTTCCTGTTATATATATATAAAACCACAATAATTTATTTTTAAAAATCAGTAAATTTGTTTGAATGTATGAATAACTAAATAGCATGTTGATTGATCTAGTGAATCACTCCTGTCCCTCCATTAATTCAAAATACTCACTATCTCCTGAGGCCAAACACTCGATTGTTGAGCAGCCCTTAATTTAGAACAGTCTTTGTTGGGTCGAAATCTGCCTCCTTATAACTTTCTTCCATTAATCCTGCCTTTACTTCTGGATTTACTGAAAACAAATTTGCTCTGTAGTACAAAATGGGTCTACGTGTGTGTGTGTGTGTGTGTGTATGTGTACACATATACAATGTCTCTCTCCTCTAACTGGTCTGAAATCAAATATCTCCAAGTGCTGTGTGAGCTCTGTGAATTGTTCAGCTCCCTCATAGTTGTTCTCCATCTAACTTGGTAGAGTTTTACGCTTTGCGTGCCCATTAGTATTCGGTCAAGGACTCAGTAGACTCCTTATGCAGATTCTGGTACTCTTGCTCTGGGTACCTCCTACACCTCGGGCACTCTGCTCCCCAAATCCCAGCTGCCTTGACCACTGATATATGTCTCCTCCCTGCCTGGGTTCTACCTCCCCTCCCGGGACAGCAGTCTAGAGAGTGCTCTGGGAAGGAGGTCAGAGCAACTGTAGGGCTCCCCTGATTTTTCTCCTGTCTTCCAAGGATTATAATCCTACACTGCTTACTGTTTAAGTATTTGGAAATTATTTTTCCATATATTTTCTCCAGCTTTCTAGTTGTCTATAGCAGGAGCTCTGGTAGCATAGTGCCTAAGGCATTAGACTACTAACCAGAAGGCTGGTGGTTCAAACCCATCAGCCACTCCTCAGAAGGAAGGTTGGGCAATCTACTTCCTTAGTGATGCCGCCTCAGAAACCCAAGGAGGGATCGATGAGTCGGATCCGACTCCAAAGCAGTGAGTGAGTGAGTAAGTGATAGCAGGAGGTCAGTGTTCTTCAGCTAGAAGGCAGTGGTCCACAGCAGGAGGGCAGTGGTCTACAGTGGGGAATTATTGCATTATGGCCACGCCTTGACTTTACATACAGTTTACTAATGGGATATTGTTCAATTTATTTCCACTTAAGGATCTCTGGGGAAAATATATATGTATGAAAATCTTTGATTTTCTAGAAAACAAGAATGTTAGGTGGCTTTTGGTTAGATGTGAAGGAGTGCTTATATATGTTTTCTTAAAACAAAGAGCAAAGGATTTTAGGGACTTTTTCCATACAACAGTTCATACACATTTTGTTTCATGACATTGACAAACAGACTGACTAATGCCATCTCTTTCCATGAGAAGTTAAATTAGAATCCTTGGGTTCTTTGTGGGAGTACAAGGTCAGAGGAAGGGGAGTTAGAGTCACAGCTATTAACCACTTTGAGCATGACCCTAGTTGGAAATACATTTTACTTCATGACCTAGTTTACACACACAAAAAAAAAAAAATGTAGTCAAAACAAAATTTTTACAAGTCAGAACATATCCTCCTTACTCATGAGACTGTTATTTTCTGTTGTTCTATTTTGTATAATTTCAAAATCTGTTATTATTGTGTGCCATCGAGTTGATCCTGACTCGTACCCACCCTATAGGCCAGAGTAGAACTGCCTCATAAGGTTTCCTAGGCAGCAGTTTTTATGGGTCTTTTCTCTCGTGGTGCCACTAGTGGGTTTGAACTGCTGACTTTCTGGTTAGCAGCTGAGTGCTTAACCATGCACCACTATACTAGGGTACCTATTCAACATCTACTTTTAGTGGCACTGAGTCACATTTGACTCAGAGTAATCCTAGAGGACAGAGAACTCCCCCATAGGGTTTCCAAGGCCGTAAATCCTTACGGAAGCAGATTGCCAATCCTTTCTCCTACAGAGCAGCTGGGAGGTTTGAACTGGCCTTTTGGCTAGCAGCTGAACTCTTAACCACTGTGCCACCATGGCTTCTCCAAGACCTGCTAGTGGGTCACAATTTGAAAATCACTGAGTTAAATCATCTTGTGCTAGCTGGCATAACCATGTGATCATGTGCACTGGGATGGTGCCTTGGCAGTAGCATGCCAGGCCAGGGGATGAGGCTGCAGGCTGCCCTGTGTAACAACCTCCTGACTTCCATGTTTCAGAGCCTTCCTTGGACAAGCTCTCCAGACTCAGTATTCTATCATCATCCAGAACTTCTGGGAAGCTCTTCCCTTGCAGTGGCTTTGTCATCTCAGGCGTGGTTTCCAGGCCCCTGCGACTTTAGAGACACCTTTAAAATAGAAAACAGGATGTTGGTTTTATAACCTAATCACTCCTCAGCGACTGGCCTCCCTCAGCCTGAGGTCTGAAAGCCTTTAATTGTGGAGAAATATCTTTCTGTCCCAAGTATTCAGAAATCTAGAAACAAGTTGGCACCAGGGTATGTTTACAAAGTATGTGACTTTCTATATATACATTATACATTTCTGAAGCTATACAGCCTCCTCACTCCCACACAAAATTATATTCCTAAAACTCCTGCCTACCTGTGCCAAATAATCTAGATAGTATTTTATATATATATATATATATATATATATATATATATATATATGCATATGTATCATTGTCATTGAGTCAATTCCAACTCATAATGACCCCCGTTGGGTTTCTGAGACTATAATGTTTACGGAAGTAGATAGCCCCATCTTCCTTCTACAGAATGGCTGGTAGGTTTGAACTGCTGACCTGTTCAACTGCTGCTGAACTGTTATCAGCCAAATGCCTTGTCCATTGCACTACCAGGGAAAGACCTTCATGAGATGAATTGACACAGTGGTTGCAACAATGGGCTCAAGTATAGCAAGGATTGTGAGGATGGTGCATGACCAGGCAGTGTTTCATTCCTTTGTGCATAGATAGGGTCACTATGAGTCAGAGCTGACTCAACAGCACCTAACAACAACAATATACATATATACATACATACATACAAACATACATATACATATATATATCAAAATTCCTGACACAATAGCAAATTTATTTTCCTCAAATAGCACAGACTATGTTAAAAATAAAAGACGTTTCAGAAAAAGGAAGTAATTACTGACTCATCTCTGCAGTCTGGTACACTCTGCTCTTACCATCCTGATATCTGAGTTGACATTTGTCATTTCAGAGAGAGGAAGGAGATATAAATTGTTAGCATGTGTATGTTTTAGTTGGGAGACCAAAGGATACTGGGAGAGAAAGAGATGATAAAGACAGAGAGAAAATTAGAGATACAGATAGAGAGACAGAGAGATAGAAGGAGGCTTGGAAGTAGGACTAACTTAACTGAAAATAAGTTAATTTTTTTGTAGGTTGTTGCTGATTTCTGTCTTTGGATGTGGGAAAATAAACTATTCATTTGAATAATGGTCAACATAACCCTTTACTTATTCATGTTTGGGCAGAATTTTCTATTTAAAGGAAATTGGGCAGAAACAATCATTGGCATGGATCTTTTTAACAACAAAAAAAGTTATCTTAACCCATTTCTGCCCCTCTGCTGCCCCTCTGTGGCTATTTCATTGTGTTTTACATATCAGTGCTGCATCAGATTATTTACCAGCCCTCAACTTCCTTAACATATGTTGTTATTGTCATATGTTATATGTTGTCAAGTTGGCTCCAACTCATAGTGACCCTATTTATAACAGAATAAAACACAGAATAAAAACAAAAACAACAAGAAAACATCCTCACAATACTTGCTGTATTTGAGCTATTGTTGCAGCCGCTGTGTCAGTCCATCTTGTTAAAGATCTTCCCGTTCTTCACTGACCCTCTACTTTACCAAGCATGATATCCTTCTCTGGGGATAGGCCCTTCTGACAACATGACCAAAGTAGGCCATTCAATAGGACACATAGTGGGTTCTAAAGGTCAACATTTTGGTTCACAGCTGAGCACTTAACCACTGTGCCACCAGGACTCCATCAATTCCAGAATACTAGAATAATATCTGCTTCTTCACCTTCCTCCTCTGTGTCTCTCTCATCCCTTGAGACCGCACTTAAGCCATTTCTCCAAGAAAACATGCTCTGATCCAAACACAGTACCATAGTATCTCAACACTTATAAACCATGTACATAGACAAAATAAAGTGTTTGTAAGTAATTTGCATATATGTCAGATACCAATTACTTAAGTCTGGATAGCTTCATAGATAGTTGAAAAATTAATAAAGTATTTATTTATAGTTTTGTTATCAACTTCATTAGCATATAGTGTGTTCCATAGGAAGAATCTTGGCTGAAGTGGCTTCTGCTGGAAGGAAGCATCAGACAGTAATAAAAGTTAAGCTCTAGGTTTGAATACAGGCTTAGGAAATTGCTAGGTGCATGAGTTTATAGGGATAATAATGGTACTTGTCATCATTGTTCTGAGGACTACCTAAGATAATGCACAAACATTTAATATGTGCCTTCCAGCCACTCCTCAGAAGGAAGGTTGAGCAATCTACTTCCGTAGTGATTTTGCCTCGGAAACCCAAGGAGGGGGTCGCTATGAGTCGGCTCCGACTCGACCACACATAACAACAACAACATGACATAGAGTAGACTATTGCTATGGAGTCAATTTCAACTCATAGTGACCATATAGAACAGAGTAGAACTAACTTTTAGGGTTTGTAAGGCTATAATCTTTATAGAAGGAGGCTGCCATCTCTTTCTCCCGTGGAGTGGCTGGTGGGTTCCAATCTCTGAGCTTTCAACTAGCAGCAAAGCACTGAACCACTGTTCCACTACCTACTCTAATGATAAAAATAATGCATTTCTTCTTGGGGGACATCAAGGTCAAATAGCATAACATAATCCACAAAGACAATGGTCTACATCCTACTTTGGTGAGTAGCAACAGGTAGCTTAAAAGCTTGTGAGGGGCCATCTAAGTTTCAGCTACTGGTTTCTTCCCATTTGGAGCAATGAAGAGTAAAGAAAATCAAAGATGCATGGAAACAATTAATCCAAAGGTCTAATGGACCATCTGAACCTCAGCCTCCATGATCCTGAGACCAGAATAACTAGATGGTGCCACTACTGACCACTGAAAGGGATCACAATAGGAGGTCCTGGATAAGAGTTGGAGAAAAATATGGAACAAAACTCAAAATCATAAAACAAGACCAAGCTTTCTGGTCTGATAGAGACTATGGCCCTTAACAAAACCAAATGTGCTGCCATGAACTCAATTCCAATTAATTGTGACCCTACAGTGACCCTATAGGACAGAGTAGAACTGCCCCATGGAGTTTCCAAGGCTGTAATCTTTATGGAAACAGACTACCTCATCTTTCTCTGAAGAGCAGCTGGTAGGTTTGATTGCCTTGACCACTGTCCCAACAGAGCTCCTTCTATGGCCCTTAGTCACCCTTTAAGCCTAGTACTGAACTCACCCCACCCCCACCCATGGCTCAATTTTCAGCCTAGCAATAAACAGGCCAATAAGGTGAGCCATAACACCAGGGAGGTATGCACTCTTTAGAAGAATCAATCAAACAAGATCAAAAGGGAAGTATTTGCCCAGGGATAAAGCTCAGAAGGCAGGAAGGGATAGGAAAGGACGAATGGAAATGGGAAACACAGGGAGGAAGTGAGAAAAGTTCTTTTACATTGTGGGGATTGCAATCAATGCCACGAAACAAAATGTATAAATTGTTGAATGGAAAACCAATTTGTTTGATAAACTTTCACGCAAATCACAATAAAAAGTTTTAAAAACTGCATTTCTATTTTAGAAAAATCCATTAAAAAAAATACAATGAAGAAATAAAAATCATTGGTGATCCCAAAATTAAAAGATAATAAACCTATTGGCTTTATGATCTTTTTTTTTTCTTATTTTTCCCTAGACCAGAGCTATTCAAAGAACTTTCTGCAATGATGGAACCATTTTAGATCTATGTTGTCCAGTTTGAGAGTTACTAGCCAGAAGTGACTATTAAACATTTGAAATGTAGCTAGAACAACTGAGGAACCAAAGCTTTAGTCATCAGTTTAAATTTAAATGGTCACATGTGGCCATTAGCTGTTTTATTGGACAATGTATCTCTGGACAGCATAGTGCCTAAGGCACTTGACTGCTAACCAGAAGGCTGGTGGTTCAAATCCACCAGCCACTCCTCGGAAGGAAGATGAGGCAATCTACTTCCGTAGTGACACTGCCTCGGAAACGCAAGGAGGGGTCGCTATGAGTCGGGTCCGACTCAGCGGCACATAACAACAACAACAACAGAGCAACTAATGGGGCAACTAACTCGGAAGGAAGACGGGGCAATCTACTTCCGTAGTGATACTGCCTCGGAAACCCAAGGAGGGGTCACTATGAGTCAGGGTCAACTCGACGGCACATAACAACAACAACAACATTACATTGGGAATATTTTTCTATATTATTATATATCCTATGAAAATGTGACTTAAATGATCCTTATTTCATTATACGGATGTATTATTATGAATTTGAACATGTCTTACTTGTTGCTGTTGTTGTTGCTGCTGTTATGTGCCATCAAACCAGTTCCTCCTCATAGTGACCCTATGTACAACAAAACAAAACACTGGCCAGTCCTGCACCATCCTCACAATCTTTGCTATGTTTGAGCTCATTTTTGCAGCCACTGTGTAAGTCCATCTCCTTGAGGGTCCACCTCTTTTTCACTGATCCTCTACTTTACCAAGCATGGCAAAGTCCCTTCTCCAGGGACTGGTCCCTCCTGATAACATAACCAAAGTATAACATATAAAGTCTTCATCCTTGCTTCTTAGGAGCATTCTGGCTATACCTCTTCCAAGACAGATTTGTTCGTTCTTGTGACAGTCCATGGTATATTCAAAATTCTTCACCAACACCGTAATTCAAATGCATCAATTCTTCAGTCTTCCTTATTCATTGTCCAACTCTCACATGCATATGAGGCTATTGAAAATACTATTGCTTGGGTCAGGCACATCTTAGTCTTCAAAGTCATTTCTTTGCTCTTGAACATGTTGCATGGGTAAAACTGATGGGCAGTATTGACTCCAGGGCTCCTGGCAGGGTTGACTGAGTCTGTGCTGGTCATGCATCCCAGGTGGATGTCTCCATCTGCCCAACCCTGCTTCCTCTCCATTTCTTTCACAGGTATTACTCCCTAATAAATATCTTGCTTCCCACATTCATTTCAGCAACTGCTTCTGGAGAAGCCAATCTACAACAGAAGTGATACTAGTCTTTTATATTTATTTGCCTTTTTTATGTGATGATTGTGTTAAAGATTTTGAGGCTACTTAGGTTTTCTCTCTGCTACTAACCTAAAGATTGGAGGTTAAATCCACCCAGTGGTGTCATGGAAGAAAGGTCTGGTGATCTGCTTCCATTAAGACTATAGTCAGGAAAATTCTATGGGGTACAGTTTTACTCTGTAGCACCTGGGGCTGAAATGAGTCAGAACTGACTTGATGACAATGGGTTTGGTTTTAGTTTTGGTTTCCAGTCTAGTAGGAAAAAACGCGGATGTCTTAATAAATTTTCAATCCAAAGATTTCTTGAGTCTGAAGTAATAGAAATAGTCATAAAGACAAAGACTGATGATGTATATGACATAAAATTTTAAAATGTCTGCATGTGAAAAAGACCTTGTATAAAGCTTTTAAAAAGATGAACTGGAAATACATTTTTAAAAATTACTATACACAAAAATTTAATATGCATGTATGCAGAGATCTTACTTGTCAAATTACCCCAAGTAGAGAAAACATTGTACTACTATCTTGTGGTTCATGTGTATTTCTTTAGGATATAAGACCAATAATGAAAACACTCATATTGTCTTCTCTAAACACATTTCCAAAAACCCCTCAGGATTGGGCGATTCCCTGAAACTTCACTGACATCCAAAATGTGGAGTGGATGGTCTTGAAACATAAAACTTCTTTGATTTTTGAAAAAGCTCAACAAAAATAAGAATTTGGCTCTGTGTTCAAAAAAAAAATAGTGGGAAGGCGAAGAAAACCTGATTTGGAGTCCTCCTCAAACAATAAAGTCTCAGTTCACCCTATGTCTTCTCTCTTTTATAGCCTTGATCACTGATGACCTCACGGATGCAATTATCTGTGCCAAGAAAATTGTGAAAGAAACAGAAGGAATGAACTATTGGTAAGAATCTTTTCTTGGGAGACTTTGGCTGACATGGGCCAATAGACACGCTGTTGTCTATTCATCACGGCTACAAGAGATGTTGGCAAACTCACCTCCATGGAGGATCCAAAGATTTTGTTTGTTTGTTTTTGTTTTTTAATAATATTTCATTGTATTTTTGGTGAAGGTTTACACAGAAGTTTAGGTTCCCATTCAACAATTTCTATGCTGGTTGTTCAGTGACATTGGTTACATTTGTCACAATGTGTGAACATGCTCATTATTTCCATTCTGGTTGTTAAATTAGAGGGTCCAAAGATTTTAATGTGCCTTTGTCTGTTCTGCATCAGTCTTTGGATGGACAGTGAGCATAAGAGAAGAGACTAGAGCAGGGAGAAGAGCTGATAGTAAGTCATGATGATTTGCACTTGCTTTTCATGATTAAGGTGTTGCAAACAATGGAGAAAGAGGTACTTACCAATGTGAATTCTGGTAGCGTAGTGCCTAAGGCACTTGACTGCTAACCAGAAGGCTGGCGGTTCAAACCCACCAGCCACTCTTCAGAAGGAAGGTTGGACAATCCACTTCCATAGTGATACTGCCTTGGAAACCCAAGGAGGGGTCGCTATGAGTTGGGGCCGACTCGACGGCACATAACAACAACAACAACAACAACAACTAATGTGAATTGGAAAGTATTAATGAAGTCAATAGATCGGAGGGAAAAAAAATAACTTGTGAGTTTGCACTAAATTTGGATAAGACTTTGGAGGGCTACAACAATATTTTGTAGGAAAGAAAACAAGTATAAGCGAGTGAAAATGGCCATGTCTGTTGGATAATAACATAGCAGAAAATGTCACTAGGATTTGCATGGGACATTGTGTAGGGTTATCACCCTCATCTCAGCTGTGTTTCTAGTGAAATTGCTAATTGGCCTACCCCTTGTACAGCCCAGATTTTCAAAGATAAGGGTGTTTAACCAAATGGCTCTACCTTACAACAGTTGTTTACTTGTTACTGAGGCTAATCATGATTTGGAGAAAACAAGGAAGAAAAAAATGTCTGAACAAAGCAAAAGGATACAGGCCTTGGGTTTCAGAAGCAAATAGAAGTGAACCCTGAGCACTGCTGGCTATTTTAGTTAATTATCTGCTTTTCGAACCTGAGCATATTTGGATTGTCATGGGTGCTTCTTTCTGCTCTTCCTGCTCCCGTCTCCTCCTTAGGCAAGGCTGGAAGAAATACTGTGAGGGCAGAGACCTCAGCGAGTGGAAAAAGGGATGTGACGTTTCATAAGCTGGAACTGGCAAGGACACTTTGCAACGGCTCCTAGGATCTGTAATGAATGTCAAAATGCTCCTGTCATCTTGTCCTTACCCCCTACCCCCAAATAATCTTTCTCAAAGTTAGAGAGGCAAAACTAAGCTACATTTGTAAGGAAATAAATATGTCCATTTAAATGTCTTCATTTTACCCTGACTCAGGTTCAGTGATGTCATCATAGCACTGTGTTGACTTGGAAAGTCACCTCCACTATAGCTGTGGAGGAAAACCCTGAGAACTGATATTGGTCTTCACTATAAGTAGTCCTGGCTCTTATGGCCCTGAAATGGCTGGTCATTTACAATTAAGATTCTCAAGTCTAGGAGAGCGGTAGGTGAACAAACTTTCCAGGACTGCAGACCACAGTTTGCTGACCTCTGCCCAAGGGCACTAGGTCATTTTTCTCCTGATCAAGGGACAGAGTACTTCCTCAGTTCAACTCTGCCATAGAGAATTTTCCCACTCCCTCAGGCATATCCAAATGGGCCCTCTAATGAGACCATGTAGATGAAGTTGCAGCTTTTACCCATAACATCCAAAAAGCTCGCATGTTATTCCAACGTCCATTTAAATTACCAGTTACTAGGTGCCATGGAGTTGACTTTCACTCACGGAGACCCCATGTATGTCAAAGCGTAGAACTGTGCTCCATAGAGTCTTCAATGGCTGATCTTTTGAAAGGAGATCGATCCCAAAATATAAACATTTCCTCCAAGGTGCCTCTGAGTAAATTCAAACCTCCAACTTTTTGGTTAGCAGCCAAGCTTTATAACCATTTGCATCACCCAGGAGCTCCCCATTTCAAATAAATTTATCAAATTAAAAAAAAAAAAAAAAAACTAGCATTATCATGACAACTTTCCAACTTTAGACATGTACATTTATCAATTTACTCAGGAAACTGGTGACCACCTGAGGGGAGTTTCACTACATGTAACAGCAGTGTGAGGATTTTAGACCCCAGATAGATATTCCCAGGATGGCCTCTGCTCTGCCCAGGGATGGCTGTCTCTGCTGAGTTGCACTACACATTGCCTCTGCTTTTACTGGGCTTGCTCTTTTCCATTTTCTGTCAACATTTCTCCATCTTGTTGGGCAGAAGTGGCTGGAGCTACCTTGTTCTAGCTGTAGGTTAAAGTAATAGGCCCAGGTTGAATGCAGCCTGACTTAGAGAGTGAACTAAATAGAAGTGTATTGGAGAGATGGTTATGCCTACAAATACATTACCTACTTACAGGAAAATGCCCCTCTAAGCTGACTGACAGATACTCTCTGATAGCATCTAAACAGCCATTAAACACTTTCTTGTTACCAACAGCCCAAGTTTTACTGCTGGCTTATTTCATGTCCACTGGCTTGACTTGCATGGATAGGCTTTAAAAAATCTTAACTGTCACTCACCCAAAACAAATACATTTTATGTATCTCTAAGCAAATATATAATCTTGTGATAATTTAGCAGATTTTACAAACCATGGGGGAAAAAGCTTTTGAAACCCATGCAGTTGAAAAGTAATTCTGCATCTTGACTGAAGAAAATTTGGAAAATTTAGGATCCATTAAGCTGTACTAAATCAATAATCTGTGCTTATAAAAGTCCATAAATATGCATTTTTCATTATTGTCCTGCATACATCTCCCTTGCAGTTCCCATCTTTAGCCAAACCTCCAACTTCATTAAAATCAATGGCACCATGTTAATGATCTAGGTTGGCATGGACCTGGCGCCAGCCATTCAAAATCTCGGGCAAAGATTAAAAAACCAACCCCCAAAATGAATGATTTGAAATTCAAGATGAAGGGAAGTTGGCTGGCCCAACAATTTGATTGATCTATCTTTTTGCAGAACTCATAAAATTTCTAAACATGCAATCCCACCATTTCCTTACTCAAATATTTTGTTTATTTAGTATTTCTATAAATAAAACTATTAGGATGACTAATTATATTTTTTCTGGATCATTTTCCACAATTAATACCCTCAGAAATTCAAGAGGACAAGATTACTTCTATTCTTGGGTTATCTTTATTTAATAATTTTAAAAAAAATGTTAAAATTACAACAAACATTTATATTCTCTTTGACAGTTTCCAAGATATGTGGAAATAATTTTTTGTTTTTAAGGCACTTGACTGCTAACCAGAAGGCTGGTTCAAACCCACCAGCCACTCCTTGGAAGGAAGGTTGGGCAATCCTACTTCCGTAGTGATACTGCCTAGGAAATCCAAGGAGGGGTCGCTATGAGTCGGGGCCAACTCGACGGCATATAACAACAACAACAACAACAACCATTTCCTCTTTACAATAATGTTATCAGCAGGTTAGCAGATAAATGGAGTAGACAGCTGGATATTACGGTACAGAAATCTGCTTCTATGAGTACATTTTTTCTTTGAGGGCTCAGTTCTGCCTGACTCCTCCCACCCACTCCCATCATCTGTCCTTTGCTTCCCAACTTATTTCCTGTTATTCCACAACATTTTCTGGCAAGGACATTTTCCTTGACGCCTCCTGAACTTATTATACCTTTCCCCCTTGCATGTTTTTGCTCCTTGTCTTCCCTCAAACCTGGAAGATAGCACCATTTCCCTGAAGCCTATTCAAATCCAGCCTCTCCTGCCCTTCTAACCCCCTAAACATCTTTCCTCTGAACTCCCAGTGGCCAGGTGTGTACCATACAATTAGGTCACCAGGGATGTGTATTCTCACCTAGCATGTAAATTCCTTGAGGGCCGGACCATGTTGTTTATATATATATGTGCATGTATGTGTGTGTGTGTGTGTGTGCATACATATATTTTTTTTTAATTTTTTTTTCCCCTACAATATCTTCTGCAGTACTGAGAACCTAATAGTTGATATTCAACAATATGTGTTGTGGATTTTTGGTTACCAGTGAACACATGTGGAACAGCAGAAGAGTACAGATAAGACCTTGCATTTGTAACATTTTTATTTTCAAACCAGCTTCACATTCAGTCCTGCATATTGTCCTCATAACAACCTTGAGATATAGGGCTACAGACTCTCCATTTTATATAGAATGTGCTGAGATACAGAAAGGGTGACTGTATCCCCTACATGGAAAGAAATCTCTTTTGATTTCAAAAACTTGAAACTCACAATAAACATCCATGATTTTTCTCAACTAAACAAAAAAACCAAACCCACTGCTGTCGAGTCCGATCGAACTCATAACAATCCCTCCTTGGGTTTCCAAGGTGGTATCTCTACAGAAGTAGATTGCCCATTCTCCCTTCCGAGGAGTGGCTGGTAGGTTTGAACTTCCAGGCTTCCAGTTAGCAGTCAAATGCATTAGGTGCTACAGCACCAGAAAAAATAAAATTAAATTAATTTAAAACATTTAAGACATGAAAATCATTTATTCCAGCGTAGACCAAATAACTCCCTACAGGCTCACTCAAGTTGCAACGTCCTGCGGGTCTCGGACCATGCATATCTTCTAGATTGAACAGTACCACAAGGCATGATAAAACACTAAAGTGGGCATTACTATCTTCCAGGACTGCTATTCCAGGGAGCTTCCAGGGGCTCGCTGTTCTTTGCACACAATGACCTCAAGGATGGGAATTCACACACCAGCTTGCAAAGGAGCTGATGCCCAGATAGCTTAGAACCCAGATGGAACCTTGACTGTAGCAGAAGCATTTGGACTGCACTGGGACTCCTTTTGGACTGCACTGGGACTCCTTTAGGACCAGAAAGTTAGTGACACACCTTTCTAACTAGCATAAGTGACTCTCTCTTTCCCTCATTTTTCTTCTGTTAAAGAGCTTCACAAGGGCAGAGAAATGCAAAAGAGAAGCACTTTGAAAATATTCTAATTCACAGATACATAAACACATCTGTGTCAGCTGATATTCTAACAGTAGAAAGAGTATGGGGACAGGTGGTCAAAAGCTAGTAAACACAGTCTCACTAGAAGGGGGAAGCGAGAAGGAAGACAAAGAATATGTATTCTTAAACGTTGCTGTAGTTTCAGCAATTTTTATCACTGGGGCCTCTTCACTGATAAATAACTCAAATGAAATACTTCTTGGCAGTGATGTTTTCCCTTGTTTTATTTGACTTCTATTCATTGGGCTCTAATTGGAACAATAATACATACTCATCTTGAAACATATAAAGCTCATTTTTAAAACTATAAAAATAAAATACTCTCATAGCCCAATAACTGCTATGAAATTTTTGATGTTTTTCTTCTGGTCTTTTCTATTTTTTCAAAATGTTGGAATATAACACATTTGATTTTATAACCTGCTTTTTCACTTAATATAGCACAAGATTTTCCTCACATTAGTATTTTTCCAAAATGTGATACATAATGACAGCACTAATAGTTACTCATTGACTGTCCTATAATTCATTTCCTCTTTTCCCCATTGTTGAATATTTGGGTTAACCAATAGCATTTTCAAGTCTGGGACTCTAGGCCAATTTTTGCAAAGGGTCTTTTCTTTTCTCACTGCTTATTTTTAATCCAAGCATTACCAAAAATCCTCACTGCATGTGTTTTCTGGGTTCCATCTTTCCAAGGATGAATCAAGACTAGGAGTATGATATTTGGACACACTTTCCAAACAAAAATTAAGACACATTATCTGCAATTTGGTCCAATATTAGAAGAAAATATTTAAAGCCAGGATTGCTCTCAAAAATCCAAAGCATGTGGTTACCATGACTGCATATACTGTGTCCCAGTTGATAGACCAGTAGTTGTGTAGAGTGATGAGTAGAGAGTGTGCACTTAAGAGTTTCACAGACCTAGGTTTAGGCCCAGTTCATCCATTACCAGCTGTGTGAGCACAGACATGATACTTCTCTATCTCATTATTTATAAGATGAAAATAATAGTTGCCATACACAGTTGTGAGAACTGGCAGCCACATTGGAAGCACATATCACAAACTAGGAGCTCTGGTAGCATAGTGCCTAAGGCACTTGACTGCTA